GAGAGGAGGAGGAGGGGGGAGGGGGAGGAGGAGGAGGAGCGCCTGACCTAGGCCAGCAACTTTGAGCGAGTGCAGTCGATCTTCCCAGCATTCTTTACGGCGAGCAAGCAGCGTCACTGCTCAGCTTCAGCTCAATCCTAGCTCACCTTCTCCCTCTCCAACGAGCTTGACGACGACGTTGGGCCGCAGCCTTCGGATTAGATCTGTCCTTGCAACTTCCCAAGACCCCCAGGAGTCCTCGGGCGTGAGGAGGAGGAGGATGAGGAGGAGGGATGCTTGGCTCGCAGCCGTTGCCAGAGGCCGTACATGCTCTCCTCTGAGACCATGAGCAGTTGCCCCCCGTGCGAGTGAAAGGTCTTGGCCTGCTTCTCCTCTTCGAGGATCGCGGCGCTGCCACTCCTCCTGTCTGGCTGCGGGGGCTGACGCATCAAGCAGCAATCCCTTTCTATGGCCTGGGTAAGGAGTCACTCCCAGCCAGTGAACTTGCTGACTGCACACGGATGAAGGAAGGAGAAGAAGGAGGGTCGAGGAGGGATGCACAATAGAAGAGAAGTATCAAGGAGGAGGCGGAGGCTGACAAAGAAGGGAGAAGAGGCGCATGAAGAAGAAGAGGAAGAGGAGACGTATGAAGGAAGGGGAGGAAGTGGAGACGCAAGAAGGAAGGGGGGGGGACAGGGCGGTAGCTACTGACCTTGCTGAACCACTCGTTCACTGACTTGTCGTAGCAGAGACCGACTTCTTTCCTCCCGCACACTCGAAACGATCTTGTGGTCGACCTCCCTCCCCATATCTCACCCTTGAACAGCATGCCTCCCAACGACGACAAGCTGCCTCCTCCTCCTCCTCCTCCTCCTCCTCCTCCTCCTCCTCCTTCTCCTGCCATTCTATCCACGTCCTCCTCCTCCAGGCTGATCCTCAACGTGCCCAGCTCAGGCTTGGACAAGCATCGCACCATCATGGCTCTCTCCTCCATCACGATCGACGGCTGCACGTGCGCCATGTTCGGCTCCGCCTTCTGCGTCAGCGCAACCCCTCCGCATCCACCAGCGTCCAGACCCTGTCGAGGAAGAGACCAGAGGAGGTGAGGAGCCAACCAGAGGAAGAGGAAACGATCTGAGGAGCACAAGACTTGATAGGGAACAGGATCAGCTCTTGAACCGTCGCTATCCTCTCGTCCTGCGCGCCAGCCCCTCCCGCCTGCTCCTCCTCCTCCCCCTTGTCTACGAAGTTCGTCTCCAGGAACCGAAGGACCCTCCTCGCGTCGTCAAACGTGCTCATGTACCCGAACGACACCCGCACCGCCCCTGTCGCCTTCCCGCCGATGACGCACCTCCGGTCCCCGCACACCTTCCCCTCCCTCAGGAACAGCTCCACGTCCTCGCTTGTATGCCCCAGCATCTCCTTGTTCGCGCCTGGGTTGCAGAAGGACCCCGTCCTCAGGTTGATCCCCACCAGACACGCCAGCTCCTCCACGTGCGAGTAGTCAAGCAGCCCTCCAGCAGGCTGGAGCATGTTGAAGCAGCAGATCGAGCCGACGGCGCTGGAGGGAGAGGAGGGCGGAGGTCCGTAGACCATAGCCGCCTTCCTCCCGTTGGCATGCCTCATCTTTCCCAGCTCGGAGGCGAAGAAATCCCTCAAGCTCCACGTGTGCTGCTCTATCCCCTCCATCCCGATCTCCTCCAGGTGCCGAAGCCCGAGCTCTGCCGCCATGATGGAGAGGAAGGGGATGGTTCCGTCCTCGAGCCTCTCGTGCAGACTCTCTCGCAGGACGAACATGTCGTCGTCGGCTCTCGCCGCCAAGACGGTGCCTGAGGCACAGGAGGAGTGAGTGAAGTCGGTTGTAAGAATGTGACCGCTGCAGGCAAGAACGGGAGAACGATAATTGTTATGTACAGAGATGGTTCGACACGTGATCGTTTCATAGACATGCAGGGCAAGAGAGGGTGGAGACAACACAAGCATAGGAATGCGAGCAGCACCTCCTCGCTCTCCTCACCTCCAGCAAAAGTCTTCTTCTCCAGGCACGCGGCCGACTCCCTCCTGATCAGCAGAGCTCCCAGCCCCGTCGGATAGCCGAACATCTTGTAGAAGGAGAGAGTGATAAAGTCAGGTTTGTGCTCACCATCCAAACGGAGAGGCGATGTGCTGGCGTGCTTAGCGGCGTCTAACAGCACCTTCCACCTGGTGTCGCCTCCACACCCCAGCAGCTGGTTCAGAGCCCCAGCTTGCACCCTCTCAGTCCAGCTGAGGTCTAGCTTCTGACCGCTGAAGTTGCACTCAGCGGGGAACGCGAACAGGCTGAAGGTGGTCTGTTCCTTGCTGCCCTCGTCCGCATCCTTCGCGGCTGATTCCAGCACCTCAGCAGCCTGCAGAGCACATCAGAGGACGGAGAAGGTCACATGCGAGCTGGAGAAGCCTGGAGGGTGGAAGAGGAGGGCATGCAACAGAGGAGGAGGAGGAGGAGGAGAAGGAGGAGGAGGAGGATCAGGAGGATCAGGAGGATCAGGAGGAGGAGGAATAGGAGGAGGAGGAGGAGGCGGAGAAGGATCAGGAGGCAGCCTTTGCCATCTTTGGTTTCACCTGAGCATGCGGGATGGGATGGTAGGCGCACCCAGCGCTCTTGGCGTACTGGCGAGCACCAAGGACGCTGTTGTGGTTGTTGACAGTGTACGCAAAGACGCTCCTGCCTGCCGCCCAGCGAAAGTTCTCAGCGACGATCTTGATGGCCTGAGTACAGCCGGAGGTGAAGACCACAGCGTACTCGCTCTCTCGGGCATGGAAGTGACGGAGTACAGCCAGCCTCGCTCGTCTGATTGCTTCTGCCGAGCGCAACGAGGCGGCGCTGCGGCTGTGGGGTTGCCGAAGCTGGAGGAGGCGACCAGGGTGAGTTGCTCCTGCAGCTGGCGTACTGACGTCAGTGTTGACCCAGCATGATCGACGTAAACTTCGTCCTTGGGGAGATGCTCGAAGCCTCTTCTGACTTCTTCGAGCCTCCCCGAGTAGCCATAGCCCTTATAACATTGCTTGAAGCTTACTAAATCTGCATCCTCCTCCTCCTGCTTCCTGACTGAATCGCAATCACTGGTTCCATTGCTGTCATGCTGTATCCCCCCCAAAGGCTTCGCTCGAAGAATTCGAGAACATCCTTCCGTCTCAGAGTAAGCAGTCCATAGAGGCAAACTGAGACAAAGCAGTAGAGCAAGATCATTAAACCTGCAGGTCCAAGATCAGAAGCTGTTAATTGCAAGTTCCTACAGCGATGCACATCAAACCCGCTCCATCCTCTTGCTGTGCTGCTCTCATACACTCCCTCCTGCACTTATCCAACTGTCTTCCTCCCCTCCGCCTAGACACGTCTCTCTTCCTCTAGCTCCTGCTGCTCCATCACCTGCTCCTGCATCTGTCCTATAGACCTGCTGCTGCTGCTGGTGCTGCTGCTGCTGCTGCTGTTGCTGCTGCTGCTGCTGCTGCTGGTGCTGCTGCTGCTGGTGGTGCTGGTGCTGCTGCTGCTGCTGCTGGTGGTGGCCGTAGTGGTAGAGGTAGTGGTGGTGGTTGTCCTGCTAGTTCTCCTCCTCCTCCTCCTCCTCCTCCTCCTCCTCCTCCACACTTTCCCTAGCCTTAGTCTGCATTTTCGCCCTCATGCTAAGAGGTCTTATTTTGACTACCCTACCCCAAATATTCCATACTTCTACCCTCTCTAGGGAATTTTGTACCCACTCTTTCTATCTCAAAAGTACCCGTAGTAAACTACCCCTCCAGTCCTTCAAATGCACCTCCCCGCCCACAAAGCTACATGAAGAGTGCCGGGAAGGAGGAGGGAGGGGGAGAGAGGAAGGAGGGGGGAGGGGGGGGGGAGAGGAAGGGGGAGGGGGAGGGGAGGAGGGTGAAGATGATGAGAAAGGAGGTTGAAGGGACAAGAATGAGAGTCCAGGCAGTGCAGGAGGAGGGGATAATGTGAAGTTGAGAATTGTTCGGATACCCTACGCATGCCTAACGCTGTCTTGAAACGCAGGCCCATGAAAAACTCCTGATGGCGTCCGACCAACTCATACCACGAGGAGCTCTCCTCCTCCCCTCTCTCTTGCTCCTCCTCTGCGTCATTGTCACGGACGAATGCCGGCTGTTCAAGCTCCACAGCAGCCAGAGACTTGCAAAGCACCTCGTCTCTACAAGGTACCGACCCACCGATGGCTTGCTCGCAACTGCTCTACTTCCCCCGCTTGTCAACCGGCTGAGAGGAGCTTATGATCACGAGGAGGATGAGTCGGATTTTCCGCTCACGGAGTTCAAGGTGGAGGACACTACAATCTTTCAGCGGCAGGTTCTGCTCAACTTTCCCAAGACCCTCAGGCTGAGAGGGCAGATGCTGCTGTTCGAAGGGAGGGAGGAGGAGGGGGATCAGCTGAAGTTGCGGCTTGCCGTCAGCCCGAGCGACACATTCCTGAGCTTGTCAACAAGAGTGGTGGAGAGGCTCAGGGAGGAGTTGAGGAAGGAGGACCCGGTGGTTGTGGCGCTGAACGATACGGGTGGTATCTGTGAAGACGAGATCTTCTTCTCTCTGAACAGGATGAGTCGTTTTGCTGCCAACTCGACGTTTGCGGATGCTGGGGTGATGGACGGCGACATGCTCTGGGTCCATGGGAGCGAGGAGGGTGAGTTGTTTGGGCTGGCAAAGTCTGCGAGCATGATGGGTCGTTGCAGGAGAGATTGGAGTCGCGGGTGAGAAGCTCGAATTGGACGATTCTGAATCGAAGAGGGACAGTGCGGACGATCTTGGCATCAACACAACGCAAATCAGAGAGCTGTTGCTGCAAGACGATGTGGGTCACTGCCTGCTCAGTCCGACCGTGTGACGGGTTTCGTGCCAGGTTGATGTCGAGTTCAGGGATGGATCCAAGATTCCAAGTGTGAACGTTGATCTCTTGCAAAGGTGAGGAGATTGTACCTTGTTTCTCAACGCTGTCGTGATGGAATGGTCCCCGTACCATCCACTTGCTCTATCTGCTGCTCCCTGCATCGATCGAGACTCCCTCTCGCGCTCATCGTTGTACCGTTCAGCCTTGACGATGGAGAGCTTGGCAACTGGACTTGGGACGAGGAAGCGCATCAAGCGGGAGGTGGAGAGGACTTACCCTCCTTGCTGTCCTGACGACTCTGGCAGTTCTGTACGGCAAGACGGTGGAAGGCGAATCAGTGAGGGTGAGGGAGAGGGTTTGAACCATTCTGGTGCTGGTGGGGTGAGAAATTAAGGCAGAAGCACTGGATTCCAGCTGTGGAGGAGGCTGACATGCGCGCCTTCTACTACTTGGCCTCCCTCGCAACCTGGAAGGCTACGAGCATGTCCCCGTCCCGCAGGAGGTAGTTTGATGTTAGCGTGAGAGTGAGGGGAGTGGGAGGTTTGAGATTGTTGGTGTGAGTGTGAAGAGATGAGAATCTCTGAGACGTTTTTGCAAGCTGCTGTTATGTAGAGGTGATGGTGGTGGTGGTGGTGGTGGTGGTGGTGGTGGTGGTGGTGATGATGATGATGGTGTTGGTATTGGTGATGATGATGATGATGATGCTGGTGGTGTTGGTGTTGGTGTTGGTGTTGGTGTTGGTGTTGGTGTTGGTGGTGATGATGATGATGATGAAATGGTCTTTGACACCCACATGCAAGAAGTTGCTGCCTGTGTCGCTTTTTTTCTCAGCGGTAGTAACCAAATGGACAGCAACTGGACAAGCTGAACAACTTCACGGATAGCGAACTCATGGAGGGAATGAAGATCTTACCCGAAGAATCAGTAGACCTTCTCTGTTGCTCCTCCTCGCCTCCTAACTCTGTTGGCTCTCCAGAGGAAGGCTGTGGCAACTTTGAGTGCTCGGCTGGGTCAGATTCTGACGCAGCTGCCGGCGCCAGATGAAGAGGAGGAGATGGGAGATTTGGAGGGAGAGGAGAGAATGGAAGGCTTTCAAGAGGATATGCTGCATTCGTTTCCTCAGCACGACCTTCATCGTCGTCACGAGTCTTTCCTTCGCTCTCGTTTCTCACACCATGGAGTTCGTCATGGCGTCGGGTCGATGGAGGATCGCGATGTTCCGATGCATCCTGGATATCAGGTGGAGGAGAGAGGGGGAGAGGAGCTGAAGGAAGTTGCTGCTGCTTCTGCTGTTGCTGCTTCTGATGGAGATGATGATGATGGAGATGATGATGATGATGATGATGATGATGATGATGATGGAGATGATGATGATGGAGATGATGATGATGAGAACGAGGAGGAGGAGGAGGAGGAAGGGAAATAATTTTGCTGCTCTCTCAGGATGATTTCAACCGCCTTCATGGACCATACAGAGAGAGAGTTCCAAGTGAGTGAGTGAGAGAAGAAAAGAGGTAGAGGCAAAATGCAGAAGGGACATGCTGTTGATTCGTTGGAGTAGGCAGGAAGAGAATGCAAGGTATGAAGGAGGAATTGAGAGGGAAAGAGAAGAGGACAGACGAGAGTAAGTGGTGATGGTAGTGGTTGGAGCAGGAGCAGGAGCAGGAGCAGGAGCAGGAGCAGGAGCAGGAGCAGGAGCAGGAGCAGGAGCAGGAGCAGGAGCAGGAGCAGGAGCAGGAGCAGGAACAGGATAGTCACGAGTTCTCCTGTGTTGACTGAATGTCAGTTGCTCGTGGAGGAGATTATGATCGCATTCCTTTCCCATTTGCTGACCCCATACGCAATGGCATCACAATCAACGTGCCACGGGTGAGTGAAGCAAAAAGCTTTCTGCCCTTTGCTCTGCTTTGCTCTGCTCTGCTCTGCTCTGCTCTGCTCTGCTCTGCTCTGCTCTGCTCTGCTCTGCTCTGCTCTGCTCTGCTCTGCTCTGCTCTGCTCTGCTCTGCTCTGCTCTGCTCTGCTCGCGTCCTTGCTCTCGTCTACGCTTGCTCTGCTCTGCCTGCGCTGCTCTGCTCTGCTCTGCTCTGCCCTGCTCTGCTCTGCTCTGCTCTGCCCGCCCTCCCCCCGACCATTTTTCATCACCTCTGCCTCGCTCTCCTGCTTTGAAAATTTCTCTTCCCTTCCCTTCCCTCACTCTCCTCCAGCCCACCGGTGCGGATCAGCTTTGGCCTCCTCCCATCAACCCTGACCCGAACCGGCCCATGTTCAACTTGCCCATGCAGCGTCGGCACGAAGGGGAGGAGGAGGAGGAGGAGGAGGAGGAGGAGGAGGATTTTCCCTCCTTCCTATCTCAATTTGAGCTTCAGCAGAAACGTCGCAAACGCAAAACCTTTGATCCAAAGGATGGTCCCCCCAAGTTCCCTTGAAGGACGAGGAAGGAAGCAGCAGCAGGATGAGGGGTAGCAAGAGGATTCTGACCAGGGGACAGGGAGAGTTGATAGGAGGTGTGAAGAATGAGCAGAGGAGGAGAAAGAAATTGTGAAGAAACGCGTAGAGGTTTCTTTGTAAATTTTCTACTTGAATAGCAGCATCGCACAAGCAAGCAATATCAACGTCCATATCGACCATACCCTCCTCTCCCTCCTCGGTATCCTCCCCCCCTTGCTCCCCTATACCCTCCTCCTCCTCCTCCTCCACCACCACCACCACCACCACCATATCCTCCTCCTCCTCCATATCCTCCTCCATATCCTCCTCCTCCTCCTCCTCCATAGCTTCCTCCTCCTCCATAGCCTCCTCCTCCTCCATAGCTTCCTCCTCCATAGCCTCCTCCTCCTCTGCTGTATCCACACTGTTTGCAAGTGTCCTTGGAGGCAAATACAACCAGCCCGCAG